TGAAGTAAGAACTTGCCTTCTACTGAATCAGATCCTCGATCTATCAGAATAATCTCACCTGGTATTTTTGTAAGGACAAAAAAGGGGGGAAAAGACTGAACCTAAAACCTAGAATTCAGAACCTATAAAGTTTAGTCAAGAATAGAAGAGGGCCAACTCTTAAAATCTAATTATGAAACCTAAAAAATATACATGTATTTATTAAACACAAATTAAAATAATGAATAAGGGCCCATTCATACCTCATATACAAATATAAAAGCATACAAAGGCTGATGAAATAGATCTAACGCGTTTTGGCCTTTACAGGCCTTCCTCAGAGGTCTAATACAAATAGAACATGTTGGCTGATATATAAAAATATATATAATCATACATATACAGAATATGCAATAGAGACCAGAAAACAATTGTTCCAAAGTTTAACCACTGGGCAAAGAAGAGACATACAAAAATACAAATGAAACCTCCAGTGCAATCACATGTCCAGTAGTACTTCTCTCTGGTCAACTTATATATTCTCCTGAGCTTGTACAGCCAAATGTTCCCAATGAAATGTTTCTTAAGTTTTTGGCCACTGTGTGACACAGAGTGTTGGACTGGATGGGCCATTGGCCTGATCCAACACTGGCTTCTCTGATGTTCTTAAAGTCAGTATGAGCAGACAGGCAGCGGCTCTCCAAGGTCTCAGGCAGAGGTCTTTCCTATCACATATTACCCGGTCCTTTCAGAGATACCGGGGATTGAACCTGGGACTTTCCTGCATGCCAAGCAGAAGCTGAGTCAGGCCATCGGTCCATCAAGGTCAGTATTGTCTACACAGATTGGCAGCGGCCCTCCAAGGACTCAGGCAGAGGACTTTTACAGGGCCAGTTTCGTGTAGTGGTTAGGGGCACAGACTCTAACCTGAGAGAACCGGGTTTGATTCCCCCACTCCTCCACATGCAGATGCTGGAGTGACCTTGGGTCAGTCACAAGTTCTCTCAGAGCTGTTCTCTGAAGGGCAGTTCTCTCAGACCTCTCTCAGCCCCACCTGCCTCACAGGGTGTCTGTTGTGGGGAGGGGAAGGGAAAGGAGTTTGTAAGCCGCTCTGAGACTCCTTTGGGTAGTGAAGGGCCGGGTATTAATCCAATCTCTTCTTCTTCTTCTTCTTTGGCTGTTCCCCTACTGCCAAATCCTTTAAGCATTAGGCAATGTGAAAGACCTCGGCCTGAGGCCCTGGACAGCTGCTGCCAGACTGAGTAGACAACCCTGACCTTGATGGACCAAGCAGAAGGCACCTTCATATGTTCATGAATTCACGAAGAAGAAGAAGAAGAAGAAGAGGAAGAAGAGGAGATTGGATCCATACCCTGCCCTTCAGCTGGAGTCTCAGAGCAGTTTACAATCCCCTTCAGTTTGGTGTAGTGGTTAAGTGCGCGGACTCTAATCTGGGAGAACCGGGTTTGATTCCCCACTCCTCCACTTGCACCTGGCTGGATGACCTTGGGCAAGCTGTAGTTCTGGCACAGCTGTTCTTGAAAAAGAGCAGTTTCTGTCAAGAGTTCTCTCAGCCCCACCTACCTCACAGGGTGCCTGTCGTGGGGAGGGGAAGGGAAAGGAGTTTGTAAGCCGCTCTGAGACACCTTTGGGTAGTGAAGGGCGGGGTATAAATCCAATCTCTTCTTCTTCTCTCCCCACAACAGGCACCCTGTGAGGCAGGTGGGGCTGAGAGAACTCTGACTGAGGACTGCTGTTGAGAGAACAGCTGTGAGAGAACTATGGCTTGCCCAAGGTCACCCAGTTGGCTGCATGTGAAGGAGGAGTGGGGAATCAAACCCGGTTCTCCCAGATTAGAGTCCGCGCACTTCACCACTACACCAAATTGGCTCTCTCATGGAACTCATGGTCTTCCTGACAGATGCCATGAGAGTGGAACGTCCTTTCCTCAGGAAGTCTCACTACGGTTCATCTTCATTACAGTTCAGAGGTCCTCGAGCCCATACGCTTTCGGACAGCATTTGTGTGCTCGAGCTCCATTCTGCTTAGACTCCTCTCCCAACCGCTGTGGAGGCCGTCTTCCACTGTGGATTGCATTCCCCCCACACTCGGCACTTCTCAGCTCTCAGAGAGAGAGCGGTCTCAGTGTCAGAGAGACGCATGTTCTGTGACCGGTGAAGAAGCGTGCAAATGGAAAGATGATATCACATGCAAGTCGTCATCGTTGTTGTTGTTTTTAAACGGTATTCTCACTTACCTTTTGGGGTCATTTCTCTTTGGTAATTCCCCCGCACCCAGAACTATCTGACGTATCTGTACATATCAAAAAATTAGGATAAAAAGTAATCAGCTTGAAATATTAAACCACCACATTCTACAATAGGCCACTATTGACCCTTTTGAGCCAGTTTGGTGTAGTGGTTAAGTGCGTGGACTCTAATCTGGGAGAACCGGGTTTGATTCCCCACTCCTCCACATGCAGCTGCTGGTGTGACCTTGGGTCAGTCACAAGCTCTGGCACAGCTGTCCTTGAAAAAGACCAGTTTCTGTCAGAGCTCTCTCAGCCCCACCCACCTCACAGGGTGTCTGTTGTGGGGAGGGGAAGGGAAAGGAGTTTGTAAGCCACTCTGAGACTCCAAGTGAAGGGCGGGGTATAAATCCAATCTCTTCTTCTTCTTCTTCTTCTTCTTCTTCTTCTTCTTCTTCTTCTTCTTCTTCTTCTTCTTCTTCTTCTTCTTCTTCTTCTTCTTCTTCTTCTGCAGATGGGGTAGAGACAGAGGAGAGGAAAACTAGATGTAGAAGAGAAGAAGAACAGGTCTTTATCCTCTGCCTTGCTCTATCCTAAAGCATCTCAAAGTGGCTTACTTCCCTTCCTCTCCCCACATCAAGCACCTTTTGAGGCAGGTGGGGCTGAGAGACTTCCGAGAGAATTGGGACTGGCCCAAGGTCGCCCAGCGGGCTTTGTGTGGAGGAGCAGTGGGAAATCTTAACCCTGTTCTCCAGATTAGAGTCCCCCTCTCTTAACCAGTACACCAAGCTGGCTTGTCGTCACTCCTCTCCCCCCAACAGGCACCTTGTGAGGCAGGTGGGGCTGAGGGAGCTCTGAGAGGACTGGGACTGGCCAAAGGTCATCCAGCAGCTTTCATGTGGAGGGAGAGTGGGGAATCAAAGCCAGCTCTCCAGATTAGAGTCCGCCTCTTTTAACCACTGTACTACTTTGGCTCTTCACTACTCCTCTCCCCTGAACAGGCACCTTGTGAGATAGGTGGGGCTGAGAGAGTCCTGAGAGAACTGTGACTGGCCTGAGGTCACCCAGCAGGCCTCATGCGTCTCAAAGCACCTTACAACCACCTTCCCTTCCTCTCCCCACATCAGGCACCTTTGGGGGCAGGTGGGGCTGAGAGAGCTCTGAGAGAACTGGGACTGGCCCAGGGTCACCCAGCAGGCCTCATGTGTCTCAAAGCACCTTACAATCGCCTTCCCTTCCTCTTCCCACATCAGGCACCTTTGGGGGCAGGTGGGACTGAGAGAGCTCTGAGAGAACTGGGACTGGCCCAGGGTCACCCAGCAGGCCTCATGTGTCTCAAAGCACCTTACAATCGCCTTCCCTTCCTCTTCCCACATCAGGCACCTTTGGGGGCAGGTGGGACTGAGAGAGCTCTGAGAGAACTGGGACTGGCCCAGGGTCACCCAGCAGGCCTCATGTGTCTCAAAGCGAAGAGCGGGGAATCAAACCCAGATCAGAGTCCGGCACTCTTAACCACTACACCACGCAGGCTTGATGTGACAGGGTGGGGATTCACATGCATTTATATCCGTTTACCTCTGTTGTGTCCGCTGACCGCCACCAGAGGCCAGCGCACGCTCCTGAGCTTGAGTCCGGTTTAACAATGGGGACTAGGATCCTAGTCCCTCCACTGGGGGAACCAATGGGACCGAGGCGGGAATTCAAACCCACCAATGGGACCCAGGGGCGTGTCCCCTGGTTGTGCATATAGTTGGCCTGCCGGCCGTTATTGTTCATCTTTGTTGTGTACCAGTAAAGTATGCTGATCACTACATCAGTCTCCATGTTTACTTCATGCGTCTAACCCACTACACTTCAACCTCTAAAGCAGGCAGGCAGATGCCTTGTTGGACAAAAACAGACTGCATAGTGCTTAGAGCGTCCGACAAGGCCCAAACAGGCCCAGATCCGAATCCTCACTCTGCCATCAAGTTCGCCGCCTGTCTCTGGCCCTCCCTCTCTCTTCCTTCCTAACGGAGTTGGCTGTGAGGATGAAATAGAGGGGGAAGAAGAAACTTCCGTGCCGTGCTGAACTGGATCAACGCGTCATATCTCGGGATGGCACATTATTTTGGAGCGGCAACACCGCCCAGTTCCGCACAAACCTATTCTATAAAGTAAGCAACCCTCCCTCCGCACGCCCTGCCCCCATTTAAAGTATGGTAAGAACTGCGGTATTGTTCACCTCGAAGGATTTTCTTCTCTTAAACCCCCCCTGTCGAAGGAGATTGTGCCGTCTGCTCCCGGCAATACTGATTGACAGCTCAGAGGGATCAGACACTTGGGGGGGAAGGGGGTATTTATAAGGGACCTGTCCAAACAGGCACCCACACACGGACGCCCAGTTCTCCCGGACCGCCCCTGGCGATATCGCCTCTTGGAAACCTTTTTATTTTGGGTATCGTCCGGTACGCTCACAAGGACTAGGAACTTGTGGGCTTTAAAAATAAACCCAAAGCTCCATCAGACACCTGACCCTGGGATTGGAGCTGTCTCGTCTTTGGCCACACCGCACGTCCCTAGCGTCTTCCCGGGCAGGCGTTCAGTTTCTGCACTCCCAAGTGCCATCTGGCTGTCGTGACCGTCGGGTTCCAGAGGTCACCCAGAAGGATCAGGGAAAACCCTCATCACCCAGAGTTCCCTACGTTGTCGCTGATCCTGCTTTAAAGAGCTCGCACCGGGGAGCAGCTCTAATCCACCTTCTGGGACGCTTTAGAGAGCAGAGGTGCTCCTTATGCCGTGGGGAGAAGACTTGGCGGTACCCAGGTAAGTGAAGCTGAAGATGGTGTTCAGGTGATAAACTTCCCATCCCGCATTGGCAGGGATGAGAATGGGATTGTCCCTGTTCATTGCTGGGTCCCCCGAATGGAGGTACCCCATCTTCCAAACTCGGGTATGACTGTCTAGGTGTTTTTGAGGGTGCATGTGTCCAAGCTGGTTCCTTTTTTTCCTGGTAATACGCAAACTACTGTGCCTCCTTGTGGCTCAGAGGTTAAGACACTGAGCTACAGACCAGAAGGTAAGTAACTTGGCAGTTTGAGACCCGAGTGCCGCATGACGGAGTGAGCTCCCATCTCGGGCCCCAGCTCCTGCCAACCTAGCAGTTCGAAAGCAAGAAATCGCAAGGAGATAAATAGGTACCGCTTTCGGTGGGAAGGTAACAGTGTCCCGTGCGCCTCGGCGTCTAGTCATGCCGGCCACATGACCACGGAGAAGTCTTTGGACAGCGCTGGCTCTTCGGCTTGGAAACGGAGATGAGCACCGTCCCCTAGAGTCGGATTCAACTTGCTTTCGAGCAAGCAACCTTTACCTTTATCACAAGACCAAGTTCACTAGTGTTCATATCGATGGCGGTGCCTTTTGTAATAACTCCCGGGGATGAAAACGGAGCAGAAGGATTCTTTTTGACACTGGACAGAAAAAGACAACAATGCGAGGGAAGGCGGCGGAGAAAGAGGGAGACCCAACAGGAGATGGACTGGCTCTATCGAGGACGCCACGGCCCTCGGTTGGCGAGACCTGAACAAGGCTGTGACTGATGGGACATTTTGGAGGCTCTTCGTCCACAGGGTTACCAGGAGTCGTAGCAGCTTGATGAAGGGTTGCCAGGTCCCCCCATGGCCAATGGTGCGGGATGAAGAGAGACAAGAGAAGAAAAGATTGGATTTATACCCTGTCCTTTACTCGGAGTCTCAGAGCGGCTTACAATCTCCTTTCCCTTCCTCTCCTCACAACAGAGACCCTGTGAGGTAGGCGGGCCTGAGAGAACTCTTTCGAGGACTGCCCTTGAGAGAACAGCTCCGAGAGAACTTGTGACTGACCCAAGGTCACCGTTACCTTTACTAACTAGTGGGAACGGGACTGACCAGACCTGTTAACCCCAACAAGTTCTCTCACTGTCTCTCAGCGTGGAGGTGCTGTCCAATAATCATGATTGATATCCATTGATCATTCAGTCCCAAAGGATTTGTGTAATGCTTTTTAAAACAGTACGTCACTCTGCTTTCAGGACTGAATTCCATAAATTAAAACATAATTGGGTTTTAATTGAAAAAGGATAAATTGGGTTTTAATTGAAAAAGGATAAAGAGAGGATACAAGGATTTGAATGAATAAAAATACGGGTGTGCGGCTTTCTCTGGGCTTCCTGTTTCTTCTTCTTTTTTTTAACCTTTTCAGTTATTTATTTATTTATTGAAAACCCTCTTTGGGTGATGATAACTGTAAGCAATAAAAGGAAACATCCCCGAATAAAACTGAGTTGTTCTGTGGACTGACACCAGGTACTTCTTAAAATGTCTTTTGCTTGGCTAGTCATACCACTGCTGGGTTTTATTTGTTTGTTTGTTTGGAGGGGGGGAGTTCTTGGCTTCCTGTTTCTGATGGGAAGGTAGTTGTGAATTTCCTGCATAAGGCAAAGGTTTAGGGTTGCCAAGTTTGGGTTGGAAAATACCTGGAGACTTTGGGAGTGGATCCTGGAGAGGGCGGGGTTTGGGGAGGGGAGGGGCCTCAGCATGGCACAAGGCCACGGAGTCTGCCCTTCAAAGCAGCCGTTTCCTCCAGGGGAGCTGATCTCAGCTGGAGATCAGTCGTAAAAGCGGGAGATCCCCAGGCCCCACCTGGAGGCTGGCAACCCTACAGGGGTTGGACTAGATGATCTTGAAGATCCCTTCCGGCTCTATGTTTCTATACTATACGTTTCCTCTCTCCGTCCTCTTTTCCAGCCCTCTTCCCTATGGAATCCGCCGCGAAATTGGCATGTGGTGCCCCAGCCAGGCAATTGTTGTGCTGTATCTCGGCCGACTTCCCCAGGGACAAGGAGTCCAGGGCCCCCCCGTGCCCCAGCCAGGACCGAGGCCCGCAGCGACCACAGTGGATGATCAGCCCGAAGCAGAAGTAAGTCCCCAGCTCTTTCCTCCAAGCCAGGTGGTTGTAGAATCGTGGGGGGTCTTCTTCCTGCAGACTCCAGCAAACGCAGGTGAGCTCGGCAGGCAATCGCCACAGCCTTTGGGCGGGTATCATGGTGTGCTGTGGCTTGAACGACACCCGTGGTACTCAGTGGCTCACAGACAGCCACGTTCACAGCTAGGATTCCCAGCTCTGGCTTGGGGAAGACCTGGAGATCTTGGGGGAGGAGCCTGGGGGAGTGGCCTAATCAGGGTATAACGCCATGGAGTCCACCCTCCAGTGCAGCCCGTTTCTCCAGGGGAACTGATCTTGGTCAACTGGAGATCAACTGTAATAGTGGGAGATCTCCAGGTGCCACCTGGGTGTTGGCAACTGGAACAACTACCATACACCAAGAGAGCCCCATTTACTTCCATCCATGAGGCTCATGGCTTACCCATTCCTTTATGTACAAAGACAAATATGGTCACAGTCCATAGACATGAAAAGATAGAGCCACAGGAACTGTGTAAAGTGCGCTCAATGTTTCTTTAACGATAGCAATAATGTTATAGATATGAAAATTACAAAAGTGATACTAATACACTCAAATTGTAAATCCAGTTACATATGATAGAAGATAACAACGACGGCGGGACGGTGGTCTCCGGAATGTGATGCCGTTTCGACAAACGTCTTCTTCTGACCAAGAATCTATAAGTGGATGATGTATGGAAAGTTGCACTGCAGTGCAACTTTCCATACATCATCCACTTATAGATTCTTGGTCAGAAGAAGACGTTTGTCGAAACGGCATCACATTCCGGAGACCACCGTCCCGCCGTCGTTGTTATCTTCTATCATATGTAACTGGATTTACAATTTGAGTGTATTAGTATCACTTTTGTAATTTTCATATCTATAACATTATTGCTATCGTTAAAGAAACATTGAGCGCACTTTACACAGTTCCTGTGGCTCTATCTTTTGTTACCCATTCCTTTAGCCAGGGCTGCTGAGCACCCCGAGGGGTCCCCTGTGCATGGATTCCCTCTGGGCTTCTCATCACCTCTCCCCCACCCCATCAGAAGAACACATGCAGGATTGTTTTGTGCCATGTATGCAGTTTCTGCTGTTCCTGTAACAGGGAAGCAATGCAGGCATTTGAAGATGATACTAAATTTGCAGATGATACTAAATTGGGAGGGGTAGCGAATAAAATAGAAGACAGAGTCAGGATACAGGGTGATCTTGACAGTCTGGAAAACTGGGCTAAAACAAATAAAATGAAATTCAGTGGGGATAAATGTAAAGTTCTGCATTTAGGTAGGAAGAATTAACTACATAATTGCAGGTGTGGGGAGACTTGTCTTGGCAGTAATATGTGCAAGAAGGATCTAGGGGTCTTAGTAGACCATACACACTGAACATGAGTCAGCAGTGTGATGCGGTTGCTAAAAAGGCAAATGCGATTTTGGGCTGTATCAACAGAAGTATAGTGTCCAGTTCATGCGAAGTGATGGTACCACTTTACTCTGCTCTGGTTACACCTCACTTAGAGTATTGTGTTCAGTTTTGGAGTGATTAGGCTACTGCATAAATTAGTTTGCTCTGGAGCCATCCTCCCTGAGCGAAGACAAAAATCTGTGAGCCAGAGGCTAAAAAACTGTGAGCAAGCTCACACAAACTCAGCTTAGAGGGAACACTGCTCGGGAGGTGGTGGGCTCCCCTTCTTTGGACGTTTTCAAACAGAGGCTCGATGGCCATCTGACAGCCATGCTGATTCTGTGAACTTAGGCAGATCACGAGAGGGAGGGCAGGAAGGGTTGCCTCCACTGTTCCCTCTGAGTTAGAGTGAGCTAGCTCACAGTTTTTTAGCCTCCAGCTCACACATTTTTGTCTTAGTTCAGAAAGGCTGGCTCCAGAGCAAACTAATTGATGCAGTAACCAAATAACTCACTCACAACTTTAAGGCCAGTAGCTCACAAAGAAGAATTTTTGATTCAAGACTCCATAGCTTAGAGGGAACATTGGTTGCCTCAGTGCTTAGTTCTCGTGGCCCTTTCTTACTGAAAAGTACTCAGAACGTGGAGTGATTTCAGCAAGAGTACACGTGGTAATGGTGGCAGTACATTACACTTACACACCCAGGGAAATGCTGGTCGCCACTCTAGGGTCAGGAAGCAATTGTTCTCCAGGCCAGTTTGGCCAGGGATCCTGGAGGTTTTTTTGTCATCTTCTGGGCGTGGAACAGCGATCACTGTGGGTGTGGAGGGGGAGGTATTTGTGAATTTCCTGCACTGCGCAGGGAATTGGGCTAGATGACCCTGGAGGTCCCTTCCGACTCTATGATTCTATGATGACTAGAATCTTGATTTTTTTTAAAAAAAATTAGATGCTGAGATTCTCAGGCCTGAATCCCAATCCCAATCCCAACCCCAACTTCTATACTTGTTTCCTGCCGTTCCACACAGTCGGGGAAGGCCCGCCTGCTCCCCCAGTAGCTCCTCACTGAAAATCTCCAAGGGAGAAGGCCCCTCTCTCTGTCCACCCACCCACCCACCCGGCTCTGATGCCGTTCTGTTCTTTCTTCCCCTCCGACAGAAACAAGCGGGACACAGCCTTTGCACAAAGGAAGGCTGAACGAGCCGCCATGAGGGCCCAACTCCGGGAGAAATATCAGCTGCCCAAGGTAAGGAGGCTCACGTGCCTGGGCTCGGAGGGTGGGCGAGAGAACCCGTGTGTGTGTGTGTGTGTGTGAATGGATACAGTGGCGCCAGGGCTCTTTTTGTAGAAAAAGCCCAGCAGGAACTCATTAGCAAAATAGGCCACACCCAACAGCAGGAACTCATTAGCATATTAGGCCACACCCCTGACAGCACAGCTCATTAGCACATTAGGCCGCACCCCCATGTTACCAGAAGTGTGGTCATCCAGCCACACCCACCTTTTGCTTCTTATTCTGTTTACCTTGTTTGTTGTCAAAACCCTGGGCCTTTTTTTGGAGCAGGGACTCCTTTGCATGTTAGGCCAAACACCCCTAATGTAGCCAATCCGAATGAGTTTCTGCTGTTGGGTGTGGCCTGTTATGCTAATGAGTTCCTGCTGGGCGTGGCCAACTTGGGAGCCAGCCGGAACTCCATTCCTGTGCGTTCCTGCCCAAAAATAGCCCTGTAGCCCACCGCCAAGAGGTAGCTGGAGGGAACACAGAACACTTCACCAGGAGAAAATGGCGACTTTGGAAGGTGGCTCCTGGAGACCTCCAGGAATTACAGCAACAGTTCCGCCGAAGGAAACAGCTGCTTTGGAGGGTGGACTCTATGGCTTTTCGACCCCATTGAAATCCCTCCCTAACCTTCGCCTTCATCAAGCGCCCCAGTGTTCCCTCTAAGCTGAGTTAGTGTGAGCTAGCTCACAGTTCTTAAGCCTCTGGCTCAGACATTTTTGTCACAGCTCCAGAAGGAGGGCTCCGGAGCAAACTAATTTATGCAGCCGCCAAATCGCTCGCTCACCACTTTAATACCAGTAGCTCACAAAGCGGAATTTTTGCTCACAAGACTCCACAGCTTACAGGGGGCATTGGCTCCACCCACCCACCCAAATCTCCAGATATTCTCCAGCCTGGAGTTGGCAAGCCTAGCATCAGCTCTGGGTCTGGGAAGGGGTCCCACTTGGTTTGCCAGGGCCCCTCGGCCACCAGCAGTGGGTGGGGGTAGTGTGGCCAGATCCAGGTTGGGAAACTCATGGAGATTTGGGGGTGGAGCCTGGGGAGGACAGGGACCTCAGTGGGGCACAGTGCCGTAGTGCTCACCCTCCGAAGCATCCATTTTCTCCAGGGCAACTGATCCCCATAGTCTGGAGATGAGCTGTAATTCCGGGGGGTCCCCAGGTCCCTCCTGGAGGCTGGTATCCAGGGGTCATTTTGTAGAAAAAGAGGTGCAGGAGCTCATTAGCATAACTCATTAGCATAACTTATTTGCGTATGCAACACCCCGTGACTTCACCGGAAGTGTGTCAGAAGGCAACACCCACCGCTCAGGCTCCACTGGACTGTTTTGGATTGC